GAAATATGTATTTTAAAAAATAACAAGTAATTTTTAGCAAAAAAAAGCCGACTTCAACTCTCATATAAAAGAAAATATATATATATATATACTAGCAGACCCGGCGAACTTCGTCCCGCCCAAAATTTTTATATAATTTATTGAAACTTTTTGGTCCAACATTTTCCCCAACAATTCACGTTTACGATTTTCATTGGCACATTTGTCTGCTAAGATCAAGGTTTGGTGGTCATTTGCCGCTTTAAATAACCTAAGCAAAGTGTTATATCCGTTCTTGAAATTCTCCAGTTGTGCGGCATTTCATAGCACGGTTATTCGCAAAGCGAAATAAATTTTTTCCTCTTCACTCCCTGGCGGCAACAATGACCCGGTTCTATAGTGAATGTCCTAGAAGCTTTACAGTATAGTAGGTGCCAAATCAAAATGGGTGCGAATCATTGTTCTGTACTTTAAAAGTTTGAACGCATATTAATATTGGAAAATCACATCTATTGGGCCAATTGCAACGTAGGACCGTCGATATACTCAATGGTGCAAAAGGTCGATTTAATCTGACCTTCACGGCCCCTTTTCTCACTTGGCTATTTTTAGTAATAGCTCGACTTCAGCACCACTTGGCAGCACGTTTTTGCAATAGTATTGCATACATATTTAAAACATTAGCCAAATCGGATCATAAATAAGATTTTTAGTAATAGCTCAACTACAGCGCCAACTGTCGGATTAAATTGTGAAACTAAACCATCCAGAGACCCACTCAAATACACAAAAAGTTTCGTTAAAATCCGTACAACCATTTAGGAGGATTTCACTCACAAACACACCTACAGAAGAATAAAAAAATTCATTCAAAGATAGCTAAAGGTCGGTACGTTTGTAGGCCTCACACCCCTTTTCAAATAGCCCAAATTTTCTCCATGAGTATGGGCTTGATTTCAACTATATACATATGTCCATATACATTCCATTTTTTGGAATAGATCGGTCCCTGGTCCACTTCTCGGAAAAAATTGATCACATATGCTAATACATGCCAAAAAGCTATCTGCGCACCGAATTTTAAGCAAATCGGACAGTAAATTCGATTTTTTCGAATAGATCGGTCCCTGGACCATGGAGAAAATTTGGGCTATTTGAAAAGGGG